GGCAGCACAGGAGGGGCTCTCCTGGAGCTCCCGGCACGACCCTGGGCCCCAGCGGGGCTGTGCCTTGGACAGGCTGCAAAAGAAAGCAGTTACCCCCGGCAGCCCTACCCCCCCGTGCAGCACAAGCCAGCACTGAGACATGGCCTCCTGCGGGGCAGCACCTGGGGGTCCCATGTGCCCACCCCACTGCTGCTCATCTGACCGCTATGGTGTGCCCATGGAGGTGCCTCGGTGCCGAGGCAGAGAACAGCTCTGCTTCCTCACCGATGTGCTCCAGCGCAGGGCGACATCGGCACCCAAAGCATCGCATGTGCCCAGGCGCACTCTCCCAGCGGTACGAGCAAGGGAGGGAGCTGACGAGACCCAGTAACGCAAGGGTCTGCGTCCTGCTTCTGCACAGGCAGGAAGGCGGCGCCAGTATCAGCGCACAGCCTGCAGAAGGGAAGCAAGCACTTCTATTTTTGCACATGCAGAACTGAAAGTGCAACGCACACACTCTGTCAGCAACCCTGTCCCAGCAGCAGGGTCCCCTAAGGGCCTGTGTGGGGGATGCACCCTCTCTGCTACCACCAAAGAGCAAAGATCCTCCTCTAGGGAAGCACCACGCAAATCAAAGGCTCACAGATGCCCTGCAAGAGCTGCTTAGCAGACTTTGCACCGTTGCATGAGGGTATTCGGAGCCGGAAGCTGTTTCTCAGGGTCACGTGGGATGGGGTTGCAGCAGAGGCAAGCTGTCACAGTTTCAGTTTAAAACCCAGCCACACGAGCTTCTTAACAAGAGGCCATCAGGCCCTCTTGTTTGTCTCCTAAATAGAATAGGGACTGCTAAAACCTAGTGTCCTTAACGCTGATAGCAGCAGCTCCTGCTCAGCTAAAGCATCTAATGCAGCAGGGTTCCAGCCTGGGATCAGGAAGTCAAGGGCCAGCCGATCCGCCAGACCCCTTTAGGGCTCCGTTTGACTGCACTTTCCCTCATCTTCAAAAGAAAAAGAAATTCTGTTCTGACCTCTGGCCCCAGTTCCCAAGCTACTGGACCCTGCCTACCCTCTGGGCAGCAACAGACAACATGACACAAAATCACACTCTCCATGCAGATGACCAGAAATCACAACTGAGGATCTTCAGCTTTTTGCAAAGAGGCCACGTGCAGCTCCTCTGCCTCTTGTTCCAGGCCAGGCCTTTCTAGAACACATGCCATCTTTTCAGCCTTTTGGTCACCGCTTCCTAAATTGTCAGCTTGCTACTGGACCTCAAGCACACAACTGACAGCTACCGTGTGAAGGAAGGTATGAGCACACCCCTGCTCCGAGCAGGTGTTCCCCTGCCTTGCCACTACCCTGCACCACTCCAAAGGTGCGTGCTGTGTCACTAGCTCAGCCTCGCAAGCCATTTCCAGGACAAAGGCTGCAAGGCTGTCTGCACCAAACAGACGCAGGCATGGACATGGAGTAATTTCCAGTGCCACGCCAGTGCCTCTCGGCCTGGTCAGCAGGGCCAGTCTGTCTTCCTGCACAGACCCATTTGGCTTGACAGCAGACTGCAGGGAGACACAAGCAGTGACAAAAAAAGGCTTAAGGCAAATCACACTCAGCAAACACCCAGGTCCTTGTGGGAAGATCCTGGGATCACCAGCTGTGCAGCCATCCATCCTGCGAGGCAGCCCTGCGCAGCACTCAAAGCCTGGAGTCGGCTAGAGCACAACCCAGGGCTGTGCAAACATCTCCTGGGAGGGAGAGCTGGGGACCCGTGGGGCCGGGCAGGCGCAGGATGCTCTCGCAGAGCGGTGTGGACGACCGTACTTGTAGACCACCCGCTGTCCAAACTGCCTTCGTGGGGAGGTGTCGCGCTGGCTGACCACCAGCTCCAGGGAAGGCTACAGAGCTGCTACGGCGGCGCAGGCAGAGGACGGGGGAGCCGGAGGGCTGTGCCACAGGCCCAGCACTGATGGGGTGTTCCCAGCAGCAGGCAGGGGCGAGCCCCAAGGCTGGGCGAGGGGATGCACT